TTCACATATTTTTAGAAACTTATTTGGTTTTCTTGTCAAATTTTTAAGTGATATATTTTATGTAATTATCATTACTGTAATGCTGTACAAAATGTTATATTTATTAGTACAATCAGCCTAAAGACAATTTAAATAATTTAATATTTAACAACTTAATATTTATCACCAAACTAATGTATTATAATATTTTAAATATTAAGCCAGTATTTAGAACCAATATCTTTTGCATTGTGACATTATTTCATTAATGAAAATTCAGAACATTTTTCTAGAATTTTTTTTTGTATTATTTATGTTTTTGCTTTTTTAATGTAATTCTAATTACTGTAATACTGTACAAAATGCTATTGTTTGTTGTTACAATCAGCATAAATTAAATGCAGTTCAAATGATATTTTTTCACGTTGCAGTAATGAGGATTTGGGAGTAAATGCTTGAAATTCACCCACGTCGCAGTCATGCAGTGATGTTGTTTAACAGATTGTGGATGAGGAGGAACAACAGTATCTTTTGTATCCTCTGTCTGAGTGAATGTGAGTTGTTTCTGTGAGTGTAGAGGCTCATCTGCAGCTCCGTCGATGGCCCAGCATGTGGGTGGTGTTGGTGGTTGTGTTTCAGACAGATGTGCCTCTCTGGCTCCAGTGTGTCCGGAGCGGGAAGGCCAAACTCTGGGAACGTTCCTCTGGCAGACAGAGGAGTTATAGACTTGATGAATCTGCAGAGAAACTGGAGAAGACAGACAGACAGAGAGAGAGAGATTCAGAAGCTCACAAGCATGTGTTGTGTGTTTAGAGAGAAACTGTGAAGTGTTTGAACGGACTGAAACCCAGAGCAAAGAGTCAAATATGATGCTTATCAGGGAGTCGTGCTGGTTTGTGAATGTAAATATGTGGCCAGTAAACCAGAAGTCTTAAAGGTGTCACATTCTAAGTTCACTTATAATATCAGTCAAGGATTCTTGCACTAAAGAGAGCCGTAAATTCATTTCTCATGGTCTTTTTCCATCCTGACCCTTACAATAGAGCTGTTCAGTCATGATGACGTCAATTTGTCAGCAAACCCAGAAGACTAATTCAGCACGGCTTCCCTCAGGAATTTCCTCTGGGTCTGTAGAATAGCAATTAAAACACTCTACAGAGTAAAATAAAGTCTATGGTTAACATTACCACCATAAACATTTTTGTTCTAAAGTAAAACTACACACATTTATACCTCAAATGTAAAATATGAAACCACTTTGTGCTTTAAAAATTAAAGTTTCTACACAAGCACAACACCAGTTGTCTGATTTATAAAGTACTCAAACTCACATCTTAATACTAGTTATAGTCCTTGTTAGCAGCTTTCATTTTCTAAACCAGTCAGTAATTTTAAAATTCATATTGAAGGTATAGTAATTTGTTGCAGAATAAAATGTGAGTTTCTTTAAGTAACCACAGACCTTATTTTACTCAGAAATCAAAAACCATAATAGTGTTATTTTAGTATCAGTCATATACTATTATAGTTTTTATTAACATTTTGAATCAGATTTTCCATTTTTGTTTTAATTTTAGCTAAAAGTTTAGTAATTTTGTTGTATTAAACTATATATATATATATATATATATATACATGTGTATATATATATATATATATATACATACAGTATCTCACAGAAGTGAGTACACCCCTCACATTTTTGTAAATATTTTATTATATCTTTTCATGTGACATATATACATGTGTATATATATATATATATTTATATAGTTTATGGTATCTTTTTTTATTCCAGTTTTAGTTATTCATGTACAAGTTAAATTAAGTTAAAATGAGAAGTGTTGCCATGGTAAGTTTTGTATAGTTTATATTATTCCAGTTTTGTTGTATATTTTATGTTATTAAGTGGTTATTTTTATTTTTTATTTCAAGTAGGGTATTTTTTTTAATTGTTTTGCGTGTTTTTAATTTTAGTTTCTGTTTTATTTAACTATAATAACCCTAAATCAAAACAAAAAAAAGTATTTTGGCTTTATGGCTACAAACTGAACCGCTCTGTTAAACAGGCTGTTTACGGTTTCTTTAAGACTTCTGCTATAATTGGCTAACCTCATTGAATATGTATGTATGATATGTAAATGTGGGTGGTCATATGTTAATGAGCGTGTGATTATGACACCATAACCATGAATGAGTTTCAGTAATGGTCTTGGAGGACTGGAAGCAAGTTGTTAAAGTTATTAGGGATGCACCGATAAGATACTGCGCTCCTGTACTGATATTCATACTCGTAAAAATGCTCCGATACCACACAGCGTGTGAACAGAGCTGTGTCCACACAAAGAAACACTGACAACAGAACAAACAGAGAGCAGAATGAAGTTCTTAGAGATTAAGGATGTCTATGAAATACATGTATGTAATTAATATAATGTTAAAACATTCAATATTCACAGCTGTATCTATAGATGATCTGATAAGCAAAGCACGCAGGAAGGAGAGAGAGATCGAGATAGCTCTAATGCGCTATTAAATTCAAAATGAAATACCATAGCAATAAAATGAACAGTGAAAATATAGCAAAAGCTTGTACAATACATTTGAACAGGTATAATTAAGTTAATCTTTTCTCAAAAATCTTTTCACATCTCCTGAACTTCTATTTCAAAAGAGCAATGAAAATCCTCTTCTTTATTCTACAAAAACATGTTTTCATATTGCCAGCAGATGTGAGACTGTCTGTTAAACAAATGCACACACAAAATCTAGAAATAACCTCAAAAGGAGCACGCACCTTTACTTTTGGTCAGTGTCTGGCACTGCATGTCTTGGAAAGTCTCCTGCTCTAGTTTTGTGAGCTAATCTAGTTTAAGCTTTTAACATGGCATTGTGAGCTATTATTGACTTGTATGACAAATTTCTTTTGATGTTACTCATTTGTAAGTTGCTTTAGATAAAAGTGTCTGCTAAATGTTAGGACAGTGTTTCCCAAATGGGTCCTTCAGGGTGTTTGTGAGATTGTGAGAGAAATGCCATTGCTGACAAAAATGTATGGATTTGGCTGATAATTTCATCCATAGTTATGTTGCATTGTAAGCTATTTTTATAAGTTTATGCATTCTGTTGAAATTGAAGCCATACCCCTGATCTTGTTTTGACATGACTTTTTACATGACTGGCAGGCTTTGGCCAAGCAAAACAAAGCTCATAAAATATGATGTTGCCCAGAATTATTATCTCTAATCAGGGCAATTTTATGAAATGGCCCTGTTCCCAATTTTATTGTGTAAAAGTAAAATAAAATAAAAAATTAAGTGCAGCAAATAAATATTTGTTTTGCTACACCCCTGATAGAAAGTATTTATTTATTAAAAAAAAAAAACTCTAAAGCTGTAATCTTGTGATTATATTCAGACCAACAGGACTCTTGCTTCAATGATATTGCTTAACTGTATTTTGAAAGCGTATCAATATTTACAATTTTAGGGGTTATTTGAGTCATTTCAATTAAAGGAGTTCAGCTGATGCTTTTATCTCAGCATAACACACTTACAATACAATTTTGCATGATTTTAGTTTGTTTGATTGTGGAGGCGCATCATTAGATCTGCTCTCTGTAGATGATGAAGTGTTGCTTTCTGCTGTTTTGCACTCATTTGTATCCTCAGTTATTCCCGGGTTGTGAATCCGAGTGGGTTTTAGTGCTGATTGTACAGTACGCTCAGTGTCCGAGGGAGTGCATTGATGTTGTGTATTGTATTTCTCTCTCTGCGAGGTTCCTGGAGTAGTTCTTGTAAATTTGTGTGGTTCCTCCTGATTTACACATCTGTCCCAGCATGCCCGGTGTCCGGCGTCATTAGCTCATTACTGAGAGTTCAGAGCGGATCACGCCGGTGCGCTTCACTGTCCAAAACTAAAGGAGCCGCTGGTATCGCCGCACAATGGCTGACACTAATGTAGACAAACAACATTCAAACTACAAATGTACTAATGCTAATAATAACCACTTTTAGAATGCAAACCAAAAAGAAATGTTTTAAAATGTTTATGAAGAAATTTTGTATCTTTTTAAAACTGATTCTATTTTTTTCTATTTTAATTTTAATTTATTTTGTAAAAAAAACATTAATTTTTATTTTAAAAAATGATTATGAAGCAATTTTGTATCTCTTTAAAATTTATTCTTTTTTTTATATTTGAATTTAATTTTAATTTATTTTGTAAAAATGTTTTCATTTTTAATTTAAAAAAATGATTATGAAGAAATGTTGTATCTTTAAAAATTATTTTAACTTTTTATATTTTAATTAAATTCTTTTTGTATTTATTTTTCGTACATATTTCTATTTATTCCATTCAGGCAATATTTACATAAATTATTCACAATTTTATTTTAATTTTTTAATTAAAAATGTATATTATGTATGTAAATATAGCATATCTCATCAGGTCCAGGTGTGTTTCCACCTGCGTCTGTAGCTCCTGTTACGTGTTTCTGCTGCTGACGGTGTTTGATTGATTGCTGTTGGCAGCTTATGGCTCAAGAACTGCATTGTGGGTAAATTTGAGCAGATTAGGTGGTAAAAAAGGTCTTGCCACAGTATGTGGGACGTGTGTGTGTGTGTGTGTGTGTGTAAGAGAGAGAGTGTGTGTGTGTTTGCATTGACTTCAGAGGAATATGTCAGACTGATGATTTTATCTTAATTGAGGTGATTAAGAGAAGATATAGGACTCTTAATGAGAAGGCAGACACATGTCGAGACATCAGAAGGTTCCTCAGGCACAAACACACCATTCAGAAACTCACACATGACTCCAGAAGAACGAAAGTAACATTGAGGTGCAGAAATATTTCCACCGGCTGAAAACTGAACTAGCTCGATAACATCGTGAGAGAGATCAGTGCCTGTTGGCCTTTTTAATCCTGTGATTTATGAAAGTAAGTCGACTATTACTCTGAAAGCTCATAATTATTTCATAACCACGCGTCTCTGCCCTGCAGCCTGATGAAGGCTTTTCATGTTTGTGTCTCAGCGACGCTTGCGTGGAAATCGGTGAATGTTCAGTGGGCTGAAGTGAATGGAAATCTGTTCAGTGTGTTGAATTATTGAGAGGTCAAAGACGTCTGTCAGCAGAAATGTCCGATTGCTCCACGTCTCGCCTTTCTAGCATTCTTCCCTTCAATGAGCTGTTGTGGATGAAATACAAAGCCCTTCCCTGATAAACACACACAGACACACACACACACACACACACACACACTCAGGCAT